CGATGTCAGTAATGATTCCAACGTTCAAACTGCTGTCAATGCTGCGGTCTCGCAGCATGGAAAACTTGACATCTTGTTCAGCAATGCCGGCATCGCTGGCAGTATGAACCCTTCCATCCTGTCCCTTGATCTTGAAGACTTGAAGAGGGTTTTCGAGGTCAACGTCTACGGTGCTTTCTCTGCGGCCAAACACGCCGCTAAGGTAATGATTCCCGAAAAGAAAGGGAGCATCATCTTCACCTCTAGCGCAGCTTCGGTGACTCACCCGGGGACACTGCATGAATACACTGCTTCGAAGCACGCATTGGTGGGACTGGTGAAGAACTTGTGCGTAGAACTTGGGAAACATGGAATCAGAGTTAATTGTATTTCACCGTATGCGGTGGCGACCCCTCTTCTAATGGGTGGAATGGGGATGGACAAAGAAAGTGTAGAGAAAGTGTATTCAGAGGCGGCGAACTTGAAGGAAGTGGTTTTGAAGGAAGAGGATGTGGCTGAAGCAGCTTTGTTTCTGTCTAGCGACGAGTCCAAGTACGTGAGTGGACTGAACCTACTTTTGGATGGTGGTGTCAGTGTCACCAATGTTTCTGTGGAAGCAGCTCTGGCAAAGATTTCTGCTAAGACCAAACAGTAAGCTTCAACTTGTGGGGGTTACTTGGAGGAAAAAACTGTTCTCTCTTTTTAATCTTGGCTAAATAAAGTAGAGTCCAGACTATGGACGAGCCTATGAATTAAACTCATTTTCAACGGAAGGAAGCTTGGGTGCATGTATCGCAAAGGAATATGCGGGTACCTTAGTAATGGGATCAGCATTAGCTACTTATTATATTCATAAAAAGTATTTATCTGTCTCACCCTCCCTCTTTCAAGAACATCCTTGCATCTTCTCTTTTTGAAGTTTAAGTTACAAGTTATTTATAAGTTAGAGCTAAAAAAAATTTAAAAAACTATTTGGTGATTGTATATAATTTTTAGCTTAAAAATTATTCAAAAACACATATTTCAATAAAACTCTTTTAATCTCTATAGCTCTTCATTTAAAAAAAAAAAATAAACAATTCAAAACAATCTGGTAAGAAAATAGAAAAAGCTCCTTTTTGACTTTTAACTTTTTTCTTCATTATAAAAAAAATTAGTTTAAGAGCTTTTCTCAAAACCTGTTTGACTTAGTTTCTTTTTATAAATAACGTTTTTCTTAAAAAAGAGAGAATCGAAACAGACACTAAATATATATATATTGTTGGTAATCTCTCTTTTAAGTATTTAATTTTAATGCATTGCTTAAGTATATAATAAATTAAATCCATTAAATATAAATAAAATCAAATATCAAGATTGAAAATGTAACTAATGTAGAATGATTCTGACTGTGTTTAATAAAGTTCTTGATGTGGGCCACTAACATTGAGCATAGAGGGCAGTGGCGAACCTAGGAATTTTTCCTGTGGGGGGCTAAAAATTAAACATTTGTTTCTCTCTTCAAACATAATATATGAGAGGTCAAAATACAAAAAATTAAATATTTGTTCCTCTCTTCAACCACAATATGTGAGAGGCCTAAACACCAATCCAGAAAACATAACTCATAAATACCTCTTTTAACTTGTTATAGAGAGAAAGAAGGAGACAGAGAGAGAGGTAGAAGATGTCACAGTAAAATCTACTATCAATTTGAAAAAACTACACATTTTCAACCCCTAAAATGAACATTTTTTATGCAAAGAAAACAAAGAAAAAGAGAAGAGAGTAAAGGTTTAGATTTCACAAAAAATATGTATTAATTACTATAATCTAAATAGATAATTCATAGCATACCCCTCTCATTTCTTAACCTCTTTTTCTATTTACCCACTGTTAGCCCAACAAGAAAAAAAAGCCAAAGATAAATGAGAAGAGACAGATTGCCAAGAAGCGCAATCACCAAAATCATTCTGCCCCTCACTTCCCTCTCTGTCACAAATCATCAAAAAAAGGAGAGGGATCGAAAGAATAAGGTTCATTCTTTCATAAGACTCTCGGACTTCTTATTTTTATTCATGGATGGAAAGATTTGTGCTAACATCTAAGCATAATAAAAGTTAAAACTGTAAGTTTCAAGTCGAGGTTTAAACTATAATTTAAGGGGAAAGTTATATTTACAAACTTTTTGTTTAGAAACTCTTACAAACTACACTGTGTCTGACCGTCATACTTTAATCAAGAGTGTATGACTGGTCATACGTAATGTAATTTGTAAAAAAAATTTGTAAACAGATCTTTCCCCATAATATAATGCTAATTCCATATGCTAATTGTTACCACCAGGTCTGTGCCAACAAACAAGCACCACGTAGCTAAAAGAATTTGAACTAAGAGAAACCATGTAGCTCTATTGGTCATTGATACTCCCAACATGATGTAATCTTAAATAAACCTATTTTTTGTTAAATCAAAAAAAAGACAAGAAAGTGCCAATCATGGTACTGCACTCTTTCTTATTCTTTTTTTGTTTTGTTCATTTCGTTAACTTTCTTGGAGGGAGAAAAAATGTAATAAGAGTTAGAGGGGTTTCAATAGATATAGGACCTGCGAATATAAAGAAGCTCTATAAACTCTCTATGGTGGGAGAAAACTACTTCACATTAATGCAGAGAAAAAATAGAAATTTCTTACATTATACTTATGTTAAAAAATTTCTTCTATATACCAAAAAAAAAATTCTTCAATTTGAAGGGGGCTACCCTAGCACCCCCTCGTTCCGCCCCTAATAGAGGGGCTGTAGGAACAAATATCATATATAATTGTAATTATTGATATAAATATATTTATTAATTGATGTATTACAATTTACAATGATATTTAATAATAGATAAAAAAAACCTTTACATTGACATTGCATTTTTTTTTTTTTTTGAGTCTCCTCGAGGTATCTCAGCCGATAGCCGAAAATTAATATTTTTAATGTGAAGAGATCATCAAAGTGAGTTTTCTCTCTACTAATAAAGACTAATCCTTTACATTGATATTGCATTTAATTAATTCTTTTTTATTTTTAATACAATGAGTGCATATTTAGCTAGTTTGTGTCATTGGAGATTAATGACACACGGGTGCCCCACATCGCTCTAATTTGGAGTTTTTTTTTTATTATTTTTATGTGTTGTCCTAAGATGTAAGCCTCGAGATAGAGAGGACACCTCTTTAGTTGCTAACCCAATCCTTGAAAAATGAATATGCCTCAATTAACCAAAGTAAATACGTGAGTGGACTAAGCTAGCAAGAAGGTTGTTATAGTGCCAGGAAGGAATGTTTCTGGAAAAGAAGCTCTATGAAGGTTTTCCCCTAAGACCAAATCGTAATTAAGGTTCATTTTCACGTATTCCTGAAATTTATAGTTTAATATTTTTAATAATATGTATGATTATGCCATTCAAATGTTATATTTTTAGTAATTAATTGTAGTGCTTGAGAAGTATATTTTTAGATAAAATAATGAATTCTTGGGGAGGGAGCTGGACCTTTAGCCATCACTGTTCCCCCGCACTTCGGATTAGTCCTATAGCCGGCTCAAAGAGTCAAAGCTCGTGGGAATACCGGAGGGAGCCAACTTGTCTTAAAGAGATAATTAGGGTTGAGTAACTCCAAAAAAAAGATAAAATAATGCTACTCAGGCACATTTATCTACACTAGCTCATTGTTTATGACAATTGACAATGAATTTATTATTTAATAATAAAATATTTAATACATATTTAAATTAATAGTATTAATTAATCAAAATATTTAACAGGTGCTTTTGAAAAAAATGAATTCAAATATAATTACAATTTTATAAAATATAATAACGATATTCATATTTAAAATTTAATAATTATAAGACTTTATTTTATTGTTCGTTAATAATAATTAAATATATGTTTTGACTTTATATACGTGTATGTGTGTCATTAAATTCATTTTTACATATTAAGTAACTTAATTTTGTGTAATTTGTTTCAAAACAATATTTATTAGTATTTTCATAACTTTATGAACATAATTTAAAAAAATTATGAAAATTATATTTTGTGTTGATTTAATGTACTTTTTTAAAACATAAAATGTCTATATAATTTTTCCTGTAAATATTTTTTCTGTTTTTATTTGATTCACGATGGAGAATTAAATTGAATTGTAAACTAAATCAAATCGCATTATAAATAACCACGGTTGTCCGAATCACTTAAAATGTTAAATCTTTTTTTTTTTTAACAAATTTAAGAATCAAATATTTTATCTAAACCGATTCAATTTGATGAAACTGAATTATTTTAATAATTCGATTTAATTCTGCACGAAAAATATATTAATTGAACAGTGGCAATATCTAATTAAAATTTCACATATAATAACTTCGATTATATTATTGAGGTAATTCAAAGCATGCTCATTTTTATTTTTTTTGTGAGTTAAAGTCTAAGTGAGATTAGATATCGATATTCCACTGCGGTCAAAGAATAACTCCCCCAATTTCTTTGAGAATTTTTGAAAATGATTACATATCACCCACCAACAAAACCCTCACATCAATCGACGGAATTTGAATCCACACTTTTGTAAAACATGAACCAAACAGTTAGCCAACTGTTCTCACTTTTATTGATATTTTGTTCTTATTTTTAATGTCACATTAGAACCAATTTCAATATTGTTGTTAAGGCACCGATAGATATCCAATCATTACGATCTCATGTCAGTGGTGTATATAAACAAATGGATTATTGTTTCATATATCGTTTATCTGCCATACACATATAAAAATATTTGAAATTATTGTTTCACGTATCGTAACAGATAATTTTATCTGCTATATACATATAAAAATATTTGAAATTTATATATTTTTTTTTACTCTTCTCTTCACGACACCATATGAACTCCACGTATTTTTATGTATGTATAAGTAATAAAATTATCTCATGTTGACATTAGAAACACTAATCCCATAAACAAAATATCTCTTATAAATTATAATGACTTGGACATCCATTTTTTCTCTAAGTAGGCTTTAAAAGTGGAGTTAAATACCACTAGTCTCATAGAAGTAACGAAGAAAGGCAAAAAAATAAAATAAAAATAAAAATTACTGCTACATGTGGCGTATTAACAATAATTCAAAGGAAAATCCGGGAGATAATGGAAAGTGGATTAGATTACACAAATGGACTACTTTTACTCGCTGGAATTTGCTAACCCTACCATATTGAGCATATGACGATCTTCCTTAAACCTCTCGAGTACAGTGCCCTTGACGGCGTCGTTCTTGCCTTGTACCGCACCTTGAGTCACTCCCCAGCACTCTATTACTTCTGGCAATATATGGTTAGTCTTGGAGAGGCAAGGACTAGCAAATGTAGAACATGAAAACGTATGCCCTTGATCGAAGTTAGCTGAGAGAAATAAACCCAAGTGATTAACTCGTCCCCCAAAACCAATGCCATTTGGAATGTCCCCCGAACTGAAGTTGATGGCGCACTACAAGACATTATTAGCATTCAAGAGTAAAAACAAAAGAAAAAGAGTGAGAACTGTGTAATAAAATAGTCAGCAATTAGCGTGAGATCACTATCCTTCCCTGTGGAATGCATGGTAACTAAGTGATAACCATCTGACAACTGTTGAAAAAATAAACTTGATTCAGTTTTTTGGTCCATTGGGCTTTGTTATTATTTAGCCCAACTTCTAGAATAATCTTTAGGAGTAGTTTAGCCCAAATTCTAGAGTAATCCACTCTAGATTACTCCATGGAAATATCTAGAATAGTTCAACCTAGAAACTATCATGAAAATATCTAGGCTAGGAAAATAGTGGAGAATTCTAGAGAATGATTTGTAGCCATTAGATGAGAATAGTGTTGGCATAATCCTAGCCATTGGTTAAGGAGGTGCCACTAGTATAAGTAGGTGTGTCCTCCATCATTTTGTATCAAGCTAAAAAGCCAAAAGGAAAAAGAGTTCTGTAGTAATAAAAGTGTTCTCTTCCTCCAAATCTTTCTAAACTTTTTTTTTTCTCAAATATCCTCCTCCCAACAAAGTGGTATCAGAGCCTTAAGATCCTTAAGATCCTTTCTAGAGAAATGGCAAGTAGCAACATGGTTCCTTTCCAAGTCCCTATGCTCACCAAGAGCAACTATGATAATTGGAGCATCAAGATGAAGGCCCTCCTTGGATCACAAGATGTGTGGAAAGTGGTAGAGAAAGGCTACGATGAGCCAAAAGAAGGAGTCACTCTATCCCAAACTCAAAGGGATAGCTTGAAGGATTCAAGAAAGAGAGACAAGAAAGCTCTCTATCTCATCTATCAAGGATTGGATGAAGATGCTTTTGAGAAGATTTCGGAGGCAGCCACCGCAAAGGAAGCATGGGAGAAGCTACAAACCTCTTACAAGGGTGTTGAGCCGGTCAAGAAGGTACGTCTTCAATCTCTAAGAATTGAGTTTGAAACTTTACACATGAAAGATGCCGAAAGTATCTCCGATTATTTTTCTAAAGTCTTGACGGTGACTAATCAATTAAAAAGAAATGGTGAAAAGATAGATGATGTAAAAATTATGGAGAAAATTTTGCGATCTTTAGATTCGAAATTCGATCATATTGTCACTGTCATAGAAGAAACAAAAGATTTGGAAGCTATGACAATAGAGCAACTCTTGGGCTCCTTACAAGCATATGAGGAGAAGCAAAAGAAAAAGCAAGGGGTTGGTGAACAATTACTCAAGACACAACTCAACTTCAAAGGAAAGGAAGAAGACTTTGGCAACACAAGAGGACGAGGAGGATATCGTGGTCGAGGAAGAGGTCGTGGACGTGGAAGTATAGGCTTCAACAACAACTATGCCCATGAAGATCGAAGAGAAAGCTCAACAAGAGGTCGTGGAAGAGGTGGCTTCCAACCAAGGCGTGACAAATCACAAATCAAGTGCTACAACTGTCAAAGGTTCGGCCATTATGCTTCTGAATGTAGAGCCCCTACAAGGAGGATTGATGAGAAGACAAACTATGTGGAAGAGAAAAGTCAAGAAGATGGCACTCTGTTGATGGTACGCAATGACAATGTAGGAGAACAAGAGAATACATGGTATCTAGACACAGAATCAAGCAATCTAGAATCAGAATTCGATATCCAAAATGAATTGGAGTCAGAGAAATCAGAGACTATGGAAGAAGAAGAGCATCAAGAAGAAACTGAAGCTGAAGCTGATAATATTGATGATATGGAAGAAGATACAGAAGCTGCTGAATGGATAAATAAATCCGATTTGATGAAAGAACATGAAGAAAAAAGAGGAGGAGAAGGTGACAGCGAGCGTAGTGGTGATCCTGACGACGTCGATGATGGTGATGAGGAACGTGAGGAAGAAGAGGAGAATGAAGCAGTACTAACACTGCCAGAATCAAAGATAGAACCCCAAAGAAATTTCATATTGGATGAAACAATGACAACCAAGAAAAAACATATAGCAACTGAAGAAATGAAAGTTGAAGGCGTATTCTTTAGAAATGTTGATGACTCAGAAGGGCAGACACTTCAAGAAGAAAATGATCAAACTTCGCCACCAAGTCCTACTCCAACAACTCTTGCATCTACACCATCAACAGGAAGAAGCAACAACAACAAAGAAATTAAACTAAAAGTGAAGCCAAGGAGCAGTAGCAACAAGTCAGGAGGAGTACCAACAAAGAAGACAAACAAAGGAGAAATAATTCTAATAAAAGAAAAACAAACTCTCATTGATGTGCCAGAAAAGCAAAAGAAAGAAGATATTTTGGAGAATGAGCAAAGGGAAAAACCAAGGATTACTTGGTCAAATCTAGCAGAGGTCGTGTATGTACCGGAGACGTCACAAACACCGATAAAGATTGTTTATCTTCCACCAATCCCAAAGCCACCGGACAAATGTGTTCCACAAAATATAATTGGTTTACAAAATCAAGTTTAAGAGGGGGTGTTGAAAAAATAAACTTGATTTAGTTTTTTGGTCCATTGGGCTTTGTTATTATTTAGCCCAACTTCTAGAATAATCTTTAGGAGTAGTTTAGCCCAAATTCTAGAGTAATCCACTCTAGATTACTCCATGGAAATATCTAGAATAGTTCAACCTAGAAACTACCATGGAAATATCTAGGCTAGGAAAATTGTGGAGAATTCTAGAGAATGATTTGTAGCCATTAGATCAGAATAGTGTTGGCATAATCCTAGCCATTGGTTAAGGAGGTGCCACTAGTATAAGTAGGTGTGTCCTCCATCATTTTGTATCAAGCCAAAAAGCCAAAAGGAAAAAGAGTTCTGTAGTAATAAAAGTGTTCTCTTCCTCCAAATCTTTCTAAACCTTTTTTTTCAAATATCCTCCTCCCAACAACAACATCATAGTATGCACACTTGTGTGTGAAAGATGCTTAACCGTGTGAAAGTTCATTCATGCTTAGTTTCAGACAAGCATTCATTCATGCTTAGCCTTGTTTGATACTCTCTATAAAGAACACCTCATAGTTCTTGTTTTTGGATATTATTATTGTTCAAATTACAGCATCAATGTTACTTAATGTACTTTGTAACACTGGTGCAAAATGAGAGCATAAATTAATATCCAGTAGTTTAGAATCTTAGAAACAAGTAAACAGTTACCCATTGTAGATTACTGTTTGCTCCAGTAGGTCTGAATATAGATGCCTTCGGATTTAGTTGAAAAAGGTAACATTTCATGTCTCCATAAAAATCAGCATGCCGCTCCCAGGGCTGAGAAGCATATCCTCCATATATATAACCCTCTTTATCCTTAATAATTAACACAGTTGGTCCTTCATGATTTCTGCAGTTAAAATTAAGAGTTATTTATGCAGTCCAAATTTCCAATTCTACATAGAATTTAGTTGGAGTAGCCCAGAAACTGAAATAAACATTTCTTACATAAAAAGAAACTGAAATGAATTTAATTGCATTTAGCATTTACAACCTCAGAAAACTACACAAATTGATAAATTGACAAATGAAGCCTCTTTCTCAATCAATGTTCTCATAATGGTAATAATAAATTAGTCACATGTTATTTCCTACATTTACTGTTATGATAGATAAACCTTTAACTTCTGGATTGTAACAACAAAGCTCCTACAATTTTTAGTTTATGACCAAAAACATACCAGTGAAATCTATGCATAGCTATTGGCTTGTAAACCTAACAACAAGCAACAAACCAAATTTTAGGACATGTGTAATACCAAACGCTTGCTAAGATTTAGATATCTCGAATGTCACTCAATTCTAAAATATTCTGGAGAATGGAGATATTGTCAAAGTAAAAATAAAAACGTCTCTGTCCTGCAAGTCATCATGTGTTTCTCACTCATGTTAACCACTAAAGGTCGCATACATGTCATGTATACTGTTTCTTCTAGACTTAACCCCATTGATTAATTACAAGGTCCAGCTGGCAGCTATTCACAATCTCCTCTACTGCTAAGTTCTGCAATTTTGTCTTTATCTGTGAAGTAGCCAGAAATCTACTAATTTAAAGGAGTAGGATGCTTCAAAGGCAAGAATATGTACTCACGAAATATTTCCCAAGAATGTATTAAAACTAAGACCATTAACAGCACTATGATACAAAAGCTTCCAATCTTCCAGCTCTTGCTGAGAAAGTGCTCCTCCTATATGCCAAGCATATTCCTTTCTCAAAAGTACAATGTTAGAATCAATAGCCTTTGATGTCAATAGTTTAGGAATTTGAGAACCTGGTCGTCCTAGAAAAAAAAAGAAAAACATTGGAATAAGAAAATATGCCAACCGTCTATCCTGAATTTTCCTAAAAAACAATCGTGCATATATTTATCTGAAAAATGGTACTAAAATGAATAGTCAAAAAGTGAAGCATATAGTTTAATGAAATTGGATGTGTCTGTTTAACAGTCTAACAGATGCATGTCTGAGTTCTATGCAAAGACAGTTAGCGGAAGAAATTCTTTTACAACTTACAAAAGTAAGTTTTTGGTTGATACCAGAATACTTACAAGAGTATATCATGCAAAGAATTGATCCTAAGTCACTGATATTCATTTGGGGAAGTAACTAGTGTGTATTATGCAGATCATCATCAGCAGCTGCTATTTACATTCAATATGAATGAATAATCTATGCTATTAGAAGAAAGAATATTATTTCAACCAAACTATTTTCATCTAGCGTAGGTCAAATAAAACACATAAAATAATTTTTGGTCGCTCATAATATTCCTTTTGCATCCAAGCTTAGGACTGAGTGTGTAAACTTTGGGGAAGCGAAAAGCAAAATCAAAGGCAAAGTTTGATGAGCATGAAACTTAACTAGGAAAATTGAAATCCAACCAAATCTGTGGTTCATCTGCTCATAACTCCATGATCTTGATCTTTTTATGTCATAATTCAGATAAACTCATACGAAATTAAGTCAAGAACAAAAATATTTGAAATTAAGCGCAGCAATACCTGAATCAGGTGGCAAAAGCAAGCTTCCAAGAAGCTTCCTCACAGATGGGAGATGAGTACACCAACTTCTGAAATCTTCAAAAGACATAGTCTCCTCAGTGCACCCTTCATCATGCACGGAGAAATTTGCAGCATTCAGAAATATGTTGACAATGTCCAGATGTGAACTTGATGTAGTTTCAGAATCTTTTATGCATAATATATTGTTAAAAATGGCAGTCATAACAGATTCCAAATCAGACCTGCATCTCCAATGTAACATGCATCAACATAAATATGAAAGGGGAAAAGGAAAACAAAATAATTTTTAACACAGCATTATAACTGGATAAATCTATATGTCCCAAATAAGAAATTTCAAATTCATAGCTGCTACCTTTTGAGGATCAGCCTTGACACCTTCAGCGCAAACTATGTGTCCCAAATAAGAAATTTCAGATTGTCCAAAGGCACATTTGCTAAGCTTAACAAAGAACGCATGTTGTTGCAAACAAGCCAGAACAGAATCCAAATAAATGACATGCTCCTCAATAGTAGCACTGTAGACAAGGATGTCATCAAAGAAGACTATGACAAATCTCCTTAAAAATGGACGAAAAAGTCTGATTGATAGCGGATTGGAAAGTGGATGGAGCATTTGTTAATCCAAATGGCATTACTAGGAACTCATAATGTCCTTCATGCATTCGAAATGCTGTTTTATGGACGTCTTGAGGAAGCATACGTATTTGATGATATCCTGCTCTCAAGTCCAGCTTACTAAAAATGGTTGCTCCCAACAATTCATCCAAAAGTTCATCTATCGTTGGTATGGGAAAACGATCAGGTGTAGTGATGGCATTTAATGCCATATAATCAATACACATCCGCCAATTGCCATCTTGTTTCTTTACTAATAACACAGGTGAAGAAAAGGAACTTTTACTGGTTTGGATCATGCCTGCTGTCATAAGATCCGAAACTTGTTTCTCCAACTCAGATTTCTGATGGTGTGGAAATCTATAAGGCCGTACACTGACCGGTTTGGCACCTTCCACTAGGTGAATAGAATGGTCCATCCCTCGAAAAGGTGGCAAGGCATGAGGTGTTTGAAAAACCAATTGATATTTTTGTAGAACCTGCCATAAAATCTTAGCAATAGTAGATTGGAGAGCCATTAGTTCAGGAATTACCTGGACACCAGCTTTTGATTCTGCTTGAGCTAGCAGAGTGCAGCAAGAAGCCTGAGATGTATGTACTTTAGAATCTGAATTTGAACACTCAGCAACACCTTGTAACTTTACCATCTGAGTCTGCCAAACAAATTCCATGGATTGCTCAACATAGTCATGAGTCACACGGCCAAGGCTGCTCAACTAACTCATGCCCAACACAATACTCAACCCTCGTAGGTCCAGATCCATAAGTCCACAGGAAAAGAATGATGGTGTATTGCTAATTTTACATCAGGACACTTCCATTCACAGGATAGGAAATCACCATTTCCCATAAACACCTTCATGCCACGAGCTTGGATAGTTGGTATCTGTAATGTAGTGGCCAATTCTCTGCTAATAAAATTGTGGGAGCTGCCGGAGTCTACCAATACTCACACCACATGATCAGAGATTCGTGCCTCCAGAATTAAAGCTCGAGGACTCAAAGATCCAGATAAAGCATGTAAGGTGGCTTCAACTGATTCATTTTGATTATTCGGTGTCCAGACTATTTCTTCCTCAGCTTCTGGTGTCTCTTCTTCCATCTCTCCAAATAACAAAAGCATTTGTGACTTACACCGATGCCTAGCTGTCCATTTTTCATCACAAGTGTAACACAAACCAAGTTCCCTCTTCCTTGCAATTTCTTCAGGAGAGAGTCTCTTAATGGGAAGGGTTGAGGAAGACGTTGACATGGTTCTGGGTGTCGTAGTACTTACTGGCTGTGTCATGGTACTGGTAGTGGCTGATTTATGAAAGAAGAAGCATGAGAATTACTGGTGTGGCTAGTAGACCAGGATGGTTTCTTGGAAGGAATAGACAGCGAAGAACGTAACTGTTCGTGATGAGTATCTAAGGCATAGGCTAATTGCATAGCATTATGTAAGGATTTTGGCCATTGTAACTGAATGACACCCCTTAAATCAGGATGTAAACCCGAGATAAAGAAACTCATCAATACATCATCAGTAAAACCAGGAACTTGATTCAACAAAATCTCAAATTCCTTAACATAATCACACAAAGAACCTGTTTGAGAGAGTTTAGAAAGTGAACCTCTCAGGTCCACAAACGCTGAGACTCCAAATCTCTGGCGTACTGCTTTTGTGAACTCCTCCCACTGATGGATCGTTCATGTATGAAACATCCATTGGAACCAAGGAGCTGCTTGTCCTTCCATCTTCAACCCTGTATTTCGTTTATCCCATTCTGTATCCCATTATGATATTTTACATCATTGAATGGTCCCGTTTGAAAACAATTCGATGATGACAAAATTATCAAAGATCGGCATTCCATTCTATTGAACAACATACGAATAGTTCCATGATTTTGGCTAAGTGATTGTTGAATTTTTGTCTTAAAAAAATAAGTAGAAAAAAATGGATTGATATTGATCCGATCTGACTCATTATTCGAGATCAATCCTGAACTGAACGGATCATTTCTTTTTCTGATATATGAAATATGGGATTTCACTAAGTTAATTTTTAGGAAATCTCCAATCAAACCATTAGTATTTACCGCAACAAAAGAAGCGCGGGCCTCGTCGATAGAGGAAATATTTTTTTTGTGATCCCAATTTACAACTAAACAAGTCCGAACTAATTGAATCCTTGTTCCAGAAATTCTCCGAATTGATTTTCCATTTCCATAAAGAATATAATGAATAACTTTAAGTTCGAGATTATCTCTTTCTTGGAACAGATCTTTGGGGAAAAGTTTTACTAAATTGATACCATCCACTATTTCATATAGAATTACGGGTCGAACCAAAACAAAAGATTTTTTCTTGGTCGTTGTGATCCATTGGACATAGATCGAATTTCTCATTCTTGTTACTTCTTTAAATTTTTTTTTTTTTACCGTTCCAGGTGGTATCAAAACGGCACTGTGCCGGTATATCTTATCCATCTCCCCATAAAAATAAACATCTCCAGAAAAAATTTTTAATTCAAACCCCCCCTTTTTTTTCTCCACTCGGACTAATCCGCCTACACGACTTCTTAGATTATTTAAAGTGATTGGTGTATCTACTCCCACGATACTATTGTTCCGCACCATTATGCAAGAAGGTTCCGGTAAAATATGTACTTCTTCGGGAATGAAAAAAAATGGATCTACTTTGATTTGGTATTTTGGGTTAAATTCTTTGATTCCCTGATACTCAATTAAATCCTCTTTTTTAGAAATGAAATGACTTCCTATAGTCCTATATTTAGTAATTCCCAAACTCTGTGTTCGGTATTGAGGGTCGTCGAAATAAGCAAGAATACTATTTCTTCGAAAAATACCATTTATAGGTATTTTAATAGATATACTGGAAGGGGCCATCAGTTCTTTGTCTCGTTCTTGAATCGATTGGAATGGAAATGGAGCGATGAATCTATTTCTTCGCCTCTTTGACAATAAATCCGAAGTCTCGTGGAAAATAGTAGAATGTGTAAAATGACAATGATTCATACATTTGATTGGATTAAATATTGAATAATCTGGAATCCTCTTTTCTTTTTTACCAGAAAAATGGAAACTGAAAAATGGATGTCTTACTTGATCATTAGTTACTGAAGGGTTATAAATATTTATCTCTTCGGTAGAAAGAGAGTGAATGTTTATTTGATCTTGATCCTTCCGGGGTGAGAAAAAAGTGGGTCCGGACCTGCACGACTTTCCTGATAATATCCATAAATGGTTTGTTTTTGGTAGGACGTGTACATTACTATACGTAAATTCAGTTGCGTGGTCCACATTGGTACTCCAATGCATTTCCCCCCCCGAATCAGAATAAATATGTTTTCGAACCCTTTCTTTCAAATTCAAAGTGTATGTTCCTGCGCGAATCTCAGCAATCACTTGTTCTGATTCCACATATTGACCATTTTGAACTAATAGAAAACTTTTAGGTGGAATAGTCACGTTATGTATAATATCGTCACTTTCAATAGTTACATACAAGTCTCTATAACATAGAAAAGCGGGATGCCCATGACGTGTACGTGTAGGTTGAACCAAATCCTCATTAAATTTTATTTTTCCATTAGAAGGGGCTCGCACATGTTCTGCAGTACCCCCCGTGAATACTCCGCCAGTATGAAAAGTTCTTAATGTTAGTTGAGTGCCCGGTTCTCCAATAGATTGGCCTGCAATAATACCTACAGCTTCTCCCAATTCCACCAGGTCACCATGAGTAGAACTTCGACCATAACACAATCGGCAGATCCAAGATGTATTCCTACAGGTAAAGGGGGTTCGAATCGATATTGGTTGTGTTTGAAAGGTTATGAATCGATTGATAAGTCCAATCCCAATATCTTGATTTTTAACGGCAATGCATCTTGAACCTATATATATGTCGTCTGCTAATACACGACCAATTAATGTTTGTATCAAAACTCTTTCCGACATCATTCCATTCCGGGTAGTTACAGAAATCCCTCGAATGGTACCGCAATCTGTTCGACGTACAACAATGTGTTGAACCACTTCAACAAGTCTGCGTGTAAGATATCCAGCATCTGATGTTCGTACAGCAGTATCTACAACCCCTTTGCGGGCTCCATAGCAAGAAATTATATATTCTGTTAAAGAAATTCCTTCGCGTAAATTGCTTTGGATGGGTAAATCTATCATTTGTCCTTGTGGATCCGACATTAACCCTCGCATACCTACTAATTGGTGTACTTGAGATGCATTTCCTCTAGCTCCTGAAAAAGACATTATATGGACTGGATTAAGAGAGTCAGTCATCTTAAAATTGAAACTCATTTCTTGTCGCAAATATTCACTTGTAGCATACCATATCTCAATCGATTGACGTAATTTTTCTACCGCATATACATTTCCATAACGATGATGTTTTTCTAAAATGAAACGCTGTTGTTCAGCATCTTGGACTAGCCATCCCTTAGAGGGTACTGTTAAAAGGTCATCAATTCCTAATGAAATGGATGTAACAGTAGCTTGACGAAACCCCAGAGTTTTTACTTGATCTAGGATGTGTGACGTATATGCCATTCCAAAGTGATCTATTAATCTACTAATAAGCCGTTTAATGGCAGTTCCACCTATCACTCTATTGTGAAAGACTAAATTTGCCCGTTCTGCCATAAGTACCTCCTTATTCCGACTCAGTGGGGTTCGTTGGTTCGACAATGGGTTGGAGTCAATGATTGGAAAACTCCCCTTTTCTTTATCTTGATTCGAGTCAAAATTTTAAAATGAAAATCCTAATGGAATCGGGGATACCTGAATTCATACTGGTATCGTAAATTTTTTTAGCCTAGATACCAATCATCTATACGATTAGATATCATATGAATAGGCCCGGCAAAAGCCTTGTATAGCTTCTTCTATTTCTCGATAAAAAGAAATATGACCGACAGTGGTTCGAATGTATATACAACGAACTTGTTTTTTTATATTTCTTATTACTAGATAATGTCCATAAATTTCACGATAGGTACCTAAAGATTCGTAATGAACTTCAATAGGAGCTTCTCTTGAGGAAAGAACCCTTTGATCTAGTCTCCATCGGAACCACAAAGGACTGTCGAAATTTATTCTTTTCTGTCGAAAAGCTCCAATTGCATCATAGGAATTACAAAAAAGGGGTTCTTTTTTTTTCGTATACTTATAGTTATTATCGCGAATTCTTTCATTTTTAAGGTTTCTGCGATTGGACGGATTATACCTATTCGCACAAATACCTTGACGATTCCCGCTAGTTAATACATAAAGCCCAATAAGCATATCTTGAGTTGGTACGGAAATGGGATCCCCAATAGCTGGAGACAAGAGGTTCGGAAAAAACATAAGTAAACGAGCTTCTACTTGAGCCGCAAAAGATAAAGGCACATGAACAGCCATTTGATCTCCATCAAAATCTGCATTGAATCCCTTACAAACTAATGGATGTAAACAAATAGCACGCCCTTGTACTAAAATGGGTTGGAAAGCCTGTATGCCTAATCTATGCAGAGTGGGTGCTCTATTCAGCAACACGGGATGTCCCTTCATAACTTCTTGAAGTATTTCCCATACAATTGGTTCTTTTTCTCGAATTTTACTCTTCGCAACCCCTATATTTGAGGCTAATTGTTTTCGAATTAGACCACAAATGACAAATGTCTGGAAAAGCTCTATTGCTATTTCGCAGGGCAATCCACATCGATGTAATGAAAGTGATGGACCCACGACAATGACAGAACGCCCCGAATAATCTACCCGTTTGCCAAGCAGAGTCTCGCGAAATCTTCCCTCTTTGCCCTCAATTATATCTGAAAACGATTTGTAAATCTTATTATGACCATCCCTCATTGGTTGTCCGCGGATTCCATTATCTAGAAGTGTATCCACGGCTTCTTGTACCAGTTTCTCCTGACACATTACTAATTCCCCAGGCGTAGATCTACTTGCTGTTAATAAATCGATAAGAGTATTGTTCCGATAGATAACTCTTCGATAGAGTTCATTAATATCCGAACTCATTAGTTTACCCCCATCTATTTGAATAATAGGTCTCAATTCAGGAGGAAGAACAGGTAAGAAAGATAAAACCATCCATTCTGGTTCTATATTTGTTCGGATAAAATGTTTAGCCAATTCCATGCGTCGAACCAAAAAACTCTTTCTTCTTCCAACTTTTTTATCTTCCCATTCATTTTCATTGTACGTAAATTCCTCTTCTCCTAATTCCTTCCATTCTACCAACGAAGAATCAATAATAAGTCTTAAATCCAGATCGGATAATTGTTCTCGGATAGCGCCAGCTCCACTAGAAATTTCTCGATTTCGAAATGTATCGAAACCTTGCGTAGTAAAAAAAAGCGGGATGCTATATTTCCAAGATTGAATTTCATATTCGAATGAACCTCGTAATCGTAAGAAAGTGGGTTTTTTAACAATAGGTCTAGCAAACGAAAAATTTGGATAGGATCCAATCGGATCTCCCCCCTTCAAAATCGGATGTGAAGGTCTACCTTCATCCGGCTTAGTTACACCAAATAAAAATAAAAAAAGTGGTTTCCGCTTTCAAATTCTATAAAACCTAAAATCTAAAATAAAAGGTTTACTCTTTACTCAAGTTATACGTAAAAACAAAGCAACATTTCGTCGCCCCATTTTTCTTTTTGTTTCTGTCGTAATTGAGAAGTGGATAAAAAATTCTTGAGTAGTCTGTCCCCTTTCGAATGTGGAATCCCGTTAAATTGAATTCTTATTATTAATTCTTTTTAATGAAAGGAATATCCTGGAATTCATAAGAGATTTCCTTGTCTATATATCATTCCATTCGATCTTTTAGGTCCAAACTTCACCTCGATGGTTATGTCACATGGTTATTTCACAATGTCCTTACTTAAGCCTATATGCGATGTATAGACTACTTTTAAACCATGATATGTTTGCTTATTTGAACATATTTTGAGTTCTTTCAAAAATAGCTGGAATAGTGAATTACACAAAAAAGTCTTTTTTTTTTTCACGAGGTACGTACCAATAAAAATTAATATTTATTTGTTACTGAATCGACCATAGACCAATTCTTCCTTTTTTCTTGGGAGTATTCAATACACCCATAATTCTGAGCTTCATGTTACTTATCCCAAGAGACATGTCAGATCCAGGACATCCCAATTCAATTGAATGGGATGACAGTTTCTCATCCGAAATCTGTACAAAAAGGATTTCGATCAATAAATTATAATTCTGCATAAAAAAACGAATTTAAATGAACATTGACATTTGACCATCTCTAATTAAAATTTCACATATAATAAATTTGACAACTTATCGAGCTAATTCATCAAACGATGCATGCTCATTTTGTTCTTAATTTTAATATGACGTTAGAACCAATTTTAATATTGCTATTAAGCCACCGACAGATATGAGATATCCAATCATTGAGATCACAATCAGTATGTTATACAGACAAAATATCTCTTATATTGACTTGGGCAACCATGCTGTTAGCTTTCTTTGTATCCCACCGAACCCCTCCCCAGAAAAAAAAAAAAAAAAAAGTCTTCTTCTGAATTAGAAATATGAATCATATCCAATAACTATTTTATATAAATGCAAATGTGATTGCCTTTTTATCGACCAATAAGGCATGGGAAGCAAGATGCAAGGGTTCTCCTCCTCAGTCCTTCCAATCGCCAAAAGGTAATGAACCACAACTCAAATTCTATACATGTATATGATACTTCCGCTAACCTATAACTTATATATATATATATATATATATATATATATATATATATATATATATATATATATCATTGAAAATATGCATCTTCGCTCTCGTTTTGGAGCACTTGCAGGTTACAGGGCAAGGTAGCACTGATAACTGGAGGAGCTAGAGGCATCGGCGAAGCCACCGCAAGGCTTTTCCTTCGCCACGGTGCCAAGGTCATCATTGCCGACGTCCAAGACGATCTCGGACGCTCCCTTTGCGACGCCGTCCACAACCCCAATATTTCCTATGTTCACTGCGATGTCAGTAATGATTCCAACGTTCAATCTGCCGTCAATGTTGCGGTCTCGCAACATGGAAAACTTGACATCTTGTTCAGCAATGCCGGCATCGCTGGCAATATGAACCCTTCCATCCTGTCCCTTGATCTTCAAGACTTGAAGAGGGTTTTCGAGGTCAACGTCTACGGTGCTTTCTCTGCGGCCAAACACGTCGCTGAGGTAATGATTCCCGAAAAGAAAGGGAGCATCATCTTCACCTCTAGCGCAGTTTCGGTGACTCACCCGGGGACACTACATGAATACACTGCAACGAAGCACGCAGTGGTGGGTCTGATGAAGAACTTGTGCGTAGAACTTGGGAAACATGGAATCAGAGTTAATTGTATTTCACCGTATGCGGTGGCGACCCCTCTTCTAATGGGTGGAATGGGGATGGACAAAGAGAGTGTAGAGAAAGTGTATTCAGAGGCGGCGAACTTGAAGGAAGTGGTTCTGAAGGAGGAGGATGTGGCTGAAGCAGCTTTGTTTTTGTCCAGCGACGAGTCCAAGTACGTGAGTGGACTGAACCTACTTGTGGATGGTGGTATCACTGTCACCAATGTTTCTATGGAAGCAGCGCTGGCAAAGATTTCTGCTAAGACCAAACTGTAAGCTTCAACTTGTGGGTTACTTGGGGGAAAAAGATGCTCTTTTTTTTTAATCTTGGCTAAATAAAGTAGAGTCCAGACTATGGACGAGCCTATGAATTAAACTCATTTTCAACGGTAGGAAGCTTGGGTGCATGTATCGCAAAGGAATATGCGGGTACCTTAGTAATGGGATCAGCATCAGCTACTTATTGTATTCATAAAAAATATTTGTATCTCTCTACCTCTCTCTTTTAAGTATTTTTTTTATAATCTCTCTTTTAAGTACTTAATTTTAATGTATTCCTTACGTATATAATAAATTAAATATAAACAAAAACAATGATCAAGGTTGAAAGTATAACTAATGTAAAATAATTCTGACTCTATTTAATAAATTGGGAGGGGTTATTGACAAACTTTTTTTCTTACAAAATATACTAAGTATGACTAGTCAGACTTCAATCAATAGTGTATGACCAGTCAGACATAGTGTAGTTTATAAGATTTGTAAACAAAAAATTTGTAAATACAATATTTTCTTAATAAATTTGATATTAAATTGTGGTGGATTTAGAACTAAAGATGTATTCCACAAGGGATGGAGTATGTTGATTTAAGGATGCTCAAAATAACAATGGAATGAACCAAGACTCTATTTGAATTACCCGTGTGCTAGGTAGATATCTTTACAATGGAGGGAAGTGTATTTTGGCTATGATGGCTCTAGATCTCAACAGAATAACAACTCATTAAAGTAAACAAAATCAAATATCTCTTCGATGGAAGAAGGGGAGTATTTATAAGGGAGTGGATACTCCTTAACGCGGGAGAAAGAGGGGGGATAGAGCTGTATCACTGCTAGTCTTGTCTTGCCTTGCCTCTTCTGCAAGGTGTTCTGCACCCTTTGTTGGTAAATGATGGACAATATTGCTTATCATGGGGTGCCCTATGAAAAGTTTCTTATGCGGGCCACTAACATTGAGCTTAGAGGGCCTGCAAGAACAAATATCATATATAATTATTGATATAATTAAATTTATTAATTAATGTATTACAATGATATTTAATAATAGATAAAAAAACCTTTACATTGATATTGCATTTTTTTTTTAGTTTTCTCAAGGTATCTCTCAGCCAACAGCCAAAGACTAATACTTTCGAAGTGTAGAGATTATCAAAGTGAATTTTGCCTCTACTAATAAAGACTAATCCTTTACATTGATATTGCATCTAATTAATTCTTTTTTATTTTTAATACAATGGGGGCATATTTAGCTAGCTTGTGTCATTGGAGATTAATGACACAAGGGTGCCCCACATCGATCTAATTTGAAGTTTTTATTATTATTATTTTTATGTGTTGTCCTAAGATTTAAGCCTCGAGATAGAGAGGACGCATCTTTAGCTACTATAACCCAATCCTTGAAAAATGAATATGCCTCATTTAACCAAAGTAAATACGTGAGTGGACTAAGCTAGCAAGAAGGTGTTAATAGTGCCAGGAATGTTTCTGGAAAAGAAGCTCTACGAAAGTTTTCCCCTATGACCAAATCGTAAGGTTCATTTTCACGTATTCCTGAAATTTATAGTTTAATATTATTAATAATATGTATGATTATGCCATTCAAATGTTATATTTTTAGTAATTAAGTGTAGTGCTTTAGAAGTATATAATTTTTTTTAAAAAAAATTTAGATAAAATAATGCTACTCACGCATATTTATCTACACTAGTTCATTGTTTATGACAATTGACAATGAATTTATTATTTAAAAATGAAATATTTAATAAATATTTAAATTAATAGTTTTAATTAATCAAAATATTTAACAGGTTCTTTTAAAAAAAATGAATTCAAATATACTTACAATTTTATAAAATATGATAACGAGATTCATATTTAAAATTTAATAATTATAAGACTTTATTTATTGTTCCTTAATAATATTTAAATATATGTTTTGACTTTATATACGTCTATCTGTGTCATTAAATTCATTTTTACATTTTAAGTAACTTAATTTTGTGTAATTTGTTTCAAAACAATATCTATTAGTATTTCATAAATTTATGTACATAATTTAAAAAAAAATTTATGAAAATTATATTTTGTGTTGATTTAATGAACTTTTTTAAAACATAAAATGTCTATATAATTTTTAAAACATATATATGAAAAAGGTATATATGTTTTATAATTTATTACTATTTAGAGTAAATACCTTTTTTGGTCCTCAGCAAATTTCACGAAGCCTGTTTTAGTCCCTAGCAAATAAAAATGCCCATCGTTGTCCCTAAGAAATTTAAAATGGACCCATTTTAATCCTTTTGAGGACTAATATAGGTCTTTTTTGAATTTGTGAAGGATTTCGATTTCAACTAAATGGATCCATTTTGAACTTCTTAGGGACCACAATGGAACTTTTTATTTGCTAGGGCCTAAAACGGGTTTCGTGAAATTTGCTGAGGATCAAAAAAGGTATTTACTCTAATATTTAATACACTTTAACTTCTATTTGTTTAAAAATGTAGAAAGATAATTCTAAAAAAATAGAATCAAAAGTGAAAAAAGATATAAAAATGAAAATTTGAAAGAAACATAAAATTAAGTTAAATTTAAAAATTCACAAGTGAAAAATTATAATGATATCATAAGACAATTATTTTTTTGGTAATAATCATATGACACTTTTAGTCAAACCATTTTTTTTTTCTTTATTTCTTCACCTATTCAGTTATCCGATTAATTTTATTCGAGCCGAATATGCTCAAAGATGGCAAAGCTCTCATGATGTATGCTTATAGCAGAACTTAATTTATCTCGTTTTTAACATGTTCGTATTTTAATTTTAATACCTCACACACAAGTGTGAGGAACAACAATCAAAATGTCACACTATTCATAAAAAATTATCTGAATGTGATTGAATTTTTTTCCCTAAAATACCATAACACCTAACTCGCCTATGATTTACCGACACTGACACGGGACACGCGACACGACATGACACGCTAAAACGTAAATTCTAAAAAATATCATATTTCGACACGTTGAGACACGTTTTGATATTAAATAATATTTTTAATATATATAATATAATTTATATTTAATACATATAACAGCCCATAATAAGTCATATAACGAATCAAATTTTCAAATCTTATAACATAAATATAAATAAATTCTTTTTCTTACCTTGTTAATTTTTCATGTCAAATTTCATAACAACAAAAAATTGATTTAGAAATTATTTTTACATGTTTAGTTAATAAAATAAAAATTAGCTCTAAAAAAAATGTTGGATGCATGTCGGAGCGTTGACCGTGTGTTGAAAAAAGTTGACTGCGTGACGAAAAACTTGTAGGAGCATTGATCGCATGTCCTAAAATGTTGATCGCGTGTCGGAACATGTTAGAGCGTGTTCGTGTCCGACACACATTTTTTTCAAAAAGCTGCATGTCTGTGCATCGCAGTAACTCGCTACAACACTTGGCGAGTTAGGTGTGAACACGTGACAGTAGGTTAATGGCCATGTAAGCCTCTGCACAGTGTAACAAGATTACGTGACAGACAGCTTTTGCCCAAGCCTGCCACGTGGCCTGAAACGCTAGGCAACGTAACGTGTTACGTGTCAGCTTTTCTGACACGTGACAAATTCGCAATGCTGCATAGCATATTACGTGATTGTTGTGCAGTGGCAGAGTCGAGCTCCAATTTGAGCCTGGGCAAAAATTTATATGTGTGTTTATTTTTCTTAATTTTAGTTAGTTCATATTATAATATATTTAAGTTATATTAAATACAGAATACCTGAGCAAGCAGCACTAAGGAGAGTTATAATTTTATTAAAAATAATTTATTTTTTTATACAAGTGAAAATTAGACACGTAACCTAATACAACTTACCAAAATCTTTCACCAAAAATATTTTAAGTTTTACATAGGGCCAAATTACAATTTGTAGTCCGGGCCAAATTACAATTTTAATCCAGGTTAAATTATAATTAATAATATAATTATACATAATAAGTACAATTTGTTAAATTTTAGCCCGGGCCGAGGCCACACCCACACTATATGTGGCTCTGCCACTACTGTTGTGACACGTGTCACACATGCATTGCTTGGTGCTGCGATGGCCATGTAAGATGCTACGTTGCTCAACGAGTTTGCCACGTGTCAGACACGTAACACGTCAAGCTGCCTAGCATTTAGGCTGCGTGACAGAAGTTGTTTGTCATGTAATCTTGCTGCATTGTACAACGGCTTATGTGGCCATGAATTTGCTGCCAAGCGCGCACATTTAACTTGTCAGGTGTTATAACAAAATAGATGACGTGACATTTTGAAAAAGAATCTAATGCGTGGCATTTAGATAATTTTTTGTGAATAGTGTACCATTTTGGTTGTTGTTCCCAAATGTGATGCAACGTGCTTCTTAGTTCTTAACCAACCAGTCAACGACAAATAACATCGAGAAAGCTGATGAGTTTAGAATCTTAGCTAAAAACACGATGTTCCGTATTCACGTGCTCCATTTCACTCCATTGATGATATGTATATATCAAGTTCTTCAATGCTTTTGTTTTATTATATCAATCATTAAAGTAAAATTCAAAGTATGATGTCACAAAATACATTTAAGAAAAATGAATGTTATACATTACACGGAGTCATCAAACACTAACCAGCGTATAGGGTATGTTTTTGATACACAATATGAAATAAGGTATGATAATATAAGTTTAATAGTATAAGATCTGATTGTACTAAATTTATTTAAATTTTAATACTATCTAACGTTTGACATGATATTATATAAGATAATATTATACAGTGTTTGGTAATGCATTGTATAATATTATAGGATAGAAATAAATATTTTTGTCAAAAATACTTTTTAATAAAAAAATGATATAATTCTACCAAATATGTCATATGATATTAATTTTTATAAAAATATATTGATCAGTGTGTTCAATGTATATAATATTTTTTATAAAAGTAAAAATATCCAATATTTTAAAAAATAATATATTGAAAAACTAATTTTTTTTAATATGTTAATATTAAAATAATATATTAATTCTTGAAAATTAATATTAATACATCAATCTCTTATCAGGCCTAATCCTTCCTATTTAGGCATGATTAGGGGTGTAAATGGGCTGAGCTAGGCTATGCTTTGGCTTAAATAGGTTAGGCTTATGTAAAAATATTGGGTATGGCCTGGCCCATTAGCCTGTGTAGGCCCCAAATTACAAGTCTGTCCTGACCTATATTTAAAAAATAAAAGTCTTGACCTAGGCCTATTAGCCTGTTTAAGTTCATTAAACGTTCAACAATTAAAAGAATAACTAAAATAATATAATTTTATTATTCAAAATTATTAAAATAATAATTTTATTTATTATATTTTAAATAAATAATATGATATAGGCCGGCCTATACGCTTATAGGCCCGTCATGTACAAAAAAAGCCTATGGCCTATTTTCTAAATAGGTTTTTTTAAAAGCCTAAGTTTGTTCTATTTTACTCTTTATAATAGGTCAAGTCGGGCCTAATATAGGCTAGGCCGTAGGCCCCTGTAGGCCGGCCTAGCCCATTTACACCCCTAGGCATTATTAAGTTATACATTATTTTGATGTATTAAGGAATTTTGTTGTATAAATTTATATTATACGATAATTGTTGCGACTTCGGCAATTGCACCGGTCATAAAAGTAATAAAAGTGTACTGAGTACGAGATCGTTCTCACGAGGATTGATTTTCAAGCACTAGTTCACTAACAACGAGTTAGTTGGACAATCGAATTTGAGACAAAAAGCAAGAAAATCAAGAACAAGCAAGAACATGCAATTCTCAAATTTAAAGCAAGCAAAGAAAAACAATTTGGTTTTTGTTATGGATATGTATATCATATCCCAACTACCTACTAGAATATCCGGAGAGATATGGAATCAGCAACATCTCAACAGCCTCAAACAGCCAAAGGATATAAGATAAGGATCACACCCCAACAGAAGGGGAGGGAATCCTACTACAATTGGGGGATCTCAAAAGGAACAATCCTAGGAAGGTAATCCTATAAATAAGAGCCTAAGGACCCCAGGTAAACACTTGGAACTCATTTATTACTTATGCCCACACTGTGCACACACCCACCCCTTGGCTATAAGCCTAATGCTTGTGCGCAGTCATTGGGACATCGGCTATAAGCCTAGTATACACTTGATATACACTATCTCTGAGCGCATACCATACGGTATAGCAATACGGTCTATCCAGGACCAAACAGTTTTGAAAATCAAGAAAGAGCGTAGTTAATGTTTCAACTTCCCTCAATATCCTTCTTATGTTATGGATTAAACAATCAAATAATCGTCTTTAATATAATGTCAATCGATTCCTCTAAAGTAATTAAGGTTCAATCCCTTATTACCTTAATTCTATGTAATCTTGAAAGAATCATAGTTTCCCGTTTGTTCCCGAAGAAAACATGCATTAACAACAAGAATCTAAAGATTGCATAATTACCCTATGTATATCCCTAGATCACAAGAATTATGATGAATTTATCAAATCAGGGTTTATGCACTAACATCCCTATTGCCCTATTGTCATACAATTCTCCTAAATCAATCTACATGAGCAAACTCCGAGAAAACATTACATATAGATAAATTCATTCAACTATAAAAAGAAAAATTACAAAGACAATTTAATCCATAAACTTAATAATTTAATTGGGTTTCATCTACCCTTAACTACATAAAAATCTAGTCTAACATAGCAAAATCAAAGACAAGATAAAGTAAAGAAAATCCCCCAAACTCCATTATTGGTATGATGGCATAAGGAATCCTAAAAACCCCCCAGCTTGTTCTTGAATTCAAACCGCTCCAAAGCTTGAAAGACGCTTATCTCTCCAAAATAGGATTTGCTCTTCTCAATTCTTAAAAAGCTCCTTTCTTTTTTAATGTGCCACCTTTTTATAGTGATGAAATCATATCTTTTAATTCCCATAATATCTTCAATGTAATCTTTACTGTAATCTCCAATCATGTCTTTAATCAAATCTTTAAAATCTTCTCTTTTATATTTAAAGGAAATAATTTCCTTAAAAATATTCAAGAGAATCTTCAATAAGATCTTCAATCAATTGTATGATTCAGAAAAATAAATCCACTTGAGCTCTCCAATTTATCTTTTTATTGAGCTGAAAATTACTGTAAAATATAAGAATTTTTATGAGAATATTACTGAGAATAAAATAATATCTTAATTATAATTCTCATAACTTTTAATTATTTTTAAATCAATTTCATACTCATATTAACCCTTAATTCATTATAAATTGGAGATTTATCAATAATCATATCAAACAATTAAAAATATCATAATATATAGTATAAACTTTAAGCTTTGGTCATGAATTTAGTTTTTAAATAAATGGGAGCTCACCTCATATTTGAAGCATAAGTAATCTATGTTTAAGCATTTGTGCACTTTAACTTACAAAAATAAATTTTATGAAACAATAAATCCTTCTGAGTGCTGGACGCAAATAATTATTATCCGCGCATAACCAGATGTATTATTTTTCTGACAATTGCGCTCTTTCTCATAAAAACAATTGTCCTCAACTGTAATTAATTGAGTATCATTTTATATTACACATTCCGTAAATAATAATTATTTTTTGTCCAAAATTTTCGCATGATTTTAAGATAGAAGTAATATTTGTTGAATATGAAATTGAAGTAGATGAGAAGTCTCACAGTAATTATTAATGGACCAAGTAACGACAATAATAATGGAAAAGTGTATTATATATTTATTATTTTGAGATTTTGGATTGAGATATGTGATTAGTCCACAAAAATATTTAGATAAAATATTTCTTTATTTGTCTTTGATGATATTTAAGAGTTTACCAAATTTATTTATAAAAGATTATATTTTATTTGGAAAAAATATTTGTCATTTTAAACGATATAACGTTATGTCATTTTAGATCATAACCGTTGATTTCCGTCAATTAGCGGTTATAATTTATTGGGTCAAATTTATTAATTAATTAATAATAAGTTTGACCCAATAAATTATAATCGTTGACTGACGGAAATTAACGCTTATGATTTAAAATGACACAACGATATATCATTTAAAAGAACAAACTTTTTTTCCCGAAATTTATTAATATCGTGTTTCTATCTCAATTCAACCCGATTGTTTCCCATTCTTATTTCAGCGAATCATTTTGGTAAATCATTACAAATTGTTTTTTTTTTTGGTACACTGTAAATCATTACAATTTACAAAGGCCTACGGTGAGGCAAATCTAGAAGAAACAGGCCCACTGCACTGAAGGATGACCCCGTTGTTAAATTCTTTCCATTTTTGTAGTTGCTGATTATATGAAGCGTCTCTGTTGTGCAATATAAAAATAGCAAAAGTTTGCAATTATAGCCACGTTACAATTATTATTAGGCAAAGCCTTATATTGTCTTGTGATTTCGATGGAATTGACGACTTTGTACCCCTGATTAAAAATATCACCTCACTTCCTACACGTGGTTATAATTAAGGGGTGAAAAAAATATATAAAACGAACTGAAATGGATTGTATAATAAACAATTATGGGATTACTTCCTTATAAATTATAATGACTTGGACATCCATTTTTTCTCTAAGTAGGCTTTAAAAGTGGAGTTAAATACCACTAGTCTCATAGAAGTAACGAAGAAAGGCAAAAAAATAAAATAAAAATAAAAATTACTGCTACATGTGGCGTATTAACAATAATTCAAAGGAAAATCCGGGAGATAATGGAAAGTGGATTAGATTACACAAATGGACTACTTTTACTCGCTGGAATTTGCTAACCCTACCATATTGAGCATATGACGATCTTCCTTAAACCTCTCGAGTACAGTGCCCTTGACGGCGTCGTTCTTGCCTTGTACCGCACCTTGAGTCACTCCCCAGCACTCTATTACTTCTGGCAATATATGGTTAGTCTTGGAGAGGCAAGGACTAGCAAATGTAGAACATGAAAACGTATGCCCTTGATCGAAGTTAGCTGAGAGAAATAAACCCAAGTGATTAACTCGTCCCCCAAAACCAATGCCATTTGGAATGTCCCCCGAACTGAAGTTGATGGCGCACTACAAGACATTATTAGCATTCAAGAGTAAAAACAAAAGAAAAAGAGTGAGAACTGTGTAATAAAATAGTCAGCAATTAGCGTGAGATCACTATCCTTCCCTGTGGAATGCATGGTAACTAAGTGATAACCATCTGACAACTGTTGAAAAAATAAACTTGATTCAGTTTTTTGGTCCATTGGGCTTTGTTATTATTTAGCCCAACTTCTAGAATAATCTTTAGGAGTAGTTTAGCCCAAATTCTAGAGTAATCCACTCTAGATTACTCCATGGAAATATCTAGAATAGTTCAACCTAGAAACTATCATGGAAATATCTAGGCTAGGAAAATAGTGGAGAATTCTAGAGAATGATTTGTAGCCATTAGATGAGAATAGTGTTGGCATAATCCTAGCCATTGGTTAAGGAGGTGCCACTAGTATAAGTAGGTGTGTCCTCCATCATTTTGTATCAAGCCAAAAAGCCAAAAGGAAAAAGAGTTCTGAAGTAATAAAAGTGTTCTCTTTCTCCAAATCTTTCTAAACCTTTTTTTTCAAATATCCTCCTCCCAACAACAACATCATAGTGTGCACACTTGTGTGTGAAAGATGCTTAACCGTGTGAAAGTTCATTCATGCTTAGTTTCAGACAAGCATTCATTCATGCTTAGCCTTGTTTGATACTCTCTATAAAGAACACCTCATAGTTCTTGTTTTTGGATATTATTATTGTTCAAATTACAGCATCAATGTTACTTAATGTACTTTGTAACACTGGTGCAAAATGAGAGCATAAATTAATATCCAGTAGTTTAGAATCTTAGAAACAAGTAAACAGTTACCCATTGTAGATTACTGTTTGCTCCAGTAGGTCTGAATATAGATGCCTTCGGATTTAGTTGAAAAAGGTAACATTTCATGTCTCCATAAAAATCAGCATGCCGCTCCCAGGGCTGAGAAGCATATCCTCCATATATATAACCCTCTTTATCCTTAATAATTAACACAGTTGGTCCTTCATGATTTCTGCAGTTAAAATTAAGAGTTATTTATGCAGTCCAAATTTCCAATTCTACATAGAATTTAGTTGGAGTAGCCCAGAAACTGAAATAAACATTTCTTACATAAAAAGAAACTGAAATGAATTTAATTGCATTTAGCATTTACAACCTCAGAAAACTACACAAATTGATAAATTGACAAATGAAGCCTCTTTCTCAATCAATGTTCTCATAATGGTAATAATAAATTAGTCGCATGTTATTTCCAACATTTACTGTTATGATAGATAAACCTTTAACTTCTGGATTGTAACAGCAAAGCTCCTACAATTTTTAGTTTATGACCAAAAACATACCAGTGAAATCTATGCATAGCTATTGGCTTGTAAACCTAACAACAAGCAACAAACCAAATTGTAGGACATGTGTAATACCAAACGCTTGCTAAGATTTAGATATCTCGAATGTCACTCAATTCTAAAATATTCTGGAGAATGGAGATATTGTCAAAGTAAAGAAAACGTCTCTGTCCTGCAAGTCATCATGTGTTTCTCACTCATGTTAACCACTAAAGGTCGCATACATGTCATGTATACTGTTTCTTCTAGACTTAACCCCATTGATTAATTACAAGGTCCAGCTGGCAGCTATTCACAATCTCCTCTACTGCTAAGTTCTGCAATTTTGTCTTTATCTGTGAAGTAGCCAGAAATCTACTAATTTAAAGGAGTAGGATGCTTCAAAGGCAAGAATATGTACTCACGAAATATTGCCCAAGAATGTATTAAAACTAAGACCATTAACAGCACTATGATACAAAAGCTTCCAATCTTCCAGCTCTTGCTGAGAAAGTGCTCCTCCTATATGCCAAGCATATTCCTTTCTCAAAAGTACAATGTTAGAATCAACAGCCTTTGAGGTCAATAGTTTAGGAATTTGAGAACCTGGTCGTCCTAGAAAAAAAGAAAAACATTGGAATAAGAAAATATGCCAACCATCTATCCTGAATTTTCCTAAAAAACAATCGTGCATATATTTATCTGAAAAATGGAACTAAAATGAATAGTCAAAAAGTGAAGCATATAGTTTAATGAAATTGGATGTGTCTGTTTAACAGTCTAAGAGATGCATGTCAGAGTTCTATGCAAAGACAGTTAGCGGAAGAAATTCTTTTACAACTTACAAAAGTAAGTTTTTGGTTAATACCAGAATACTTACAAGAGTATATCATGCAAAGAATTGATCCTAAGTCACTGATATTCATTTGGGCAAGTAACTAGTGTGTATTATGCAGATCATCATCATCAGCTGCTATTTACATTTAATATGAATGAATAATCTATGCTATTAGAAGAAAGGCCATTATTTCAGCCAAACTATTTTCATCTAGCGTAGGTCAAATAAAACACATAAAATAATTTTTGGTGCCATAATATTCCTTTTGCATCCAAGCTTAGGACTGAGTATGTAAAATTTGGGGAAGCAAAGAGCAAAATCAAAGGCAAAGTTTGATGAGCATGAAACTTAACTAGGAAAATTGAAATCCAACCAAATCTGTGGTTCATCTGCTCATAACTCCATGATCTTGATCTTTTTATGTCATAATTCAGATAAACTCATACGAAATTAAGTCAAGAACAAAAATATTTGAAATTAAGCGCAGCAATACCTGAATCAGGTGGCAAAAGCAAGCTTCCAAGAAGCTTCCTCACAGATGGGAGATGAGTACACCAACTTCTGAAATCTTCAAAAGACATAGTCTCCTCAGTGCACCCTTCATCATGCACGGAGAAATTTGCAGCATTCAGAAATATGTTGACAATGTCCAGATGTGAACTTGATGTAGTTTCAGAATCTTTTATGCATAATATATTGTTAAAAATGGCAGTCATAACAGATTCCAAATCAGACCTGCATCTCCAATGTAACATGCATCAACATAAATATGAAAGGGGAAAAGGAAAACAAAATAATTTTTAACACAGCATTATAACTGGATAAATCTATATATATCCATAAAATAAAAACACAAACTTTTTAAAAGCCCTTGTCCTTTGTTAGAAACATAAACAGAATATCAATCCAGCTGACAACACCATTTCCAAATAAGTAATTATCACTTGTAGAACCAAATCACAAATTTCAACCAATTAAACTAAATTGTTTAAATCCAAGAATGAAACTCCATTGCTTGAAAAAGTAAAGTATCTATACAATAATTCGACAGACTGAGAGATATCTAGATATAAATTGACTAAAGTTCACTTAAATGAATTCGAATTAGCAGATAAGTAAACTAGCTTAATTTCTTTATTATTTGTACAAAATGGAGGCTTGTGTATGATCAGTCTTGCATTTAGCTTTTAAAAGGTATAGAACTAGAAGTTGTAAGTCAGTATTGCTCTACCTCCCTACGAAATTATCCCCAGATACATCTAACAAGCGAAAGATGAATTCTTCAATTTCATCTTTTGTTCCTTTCTCATAATTAGCCTGCAACATGAAAAATTAAACCCATGATGCCATGTCAGATAAATCCTAATTTTGGGACAATACCAAAACAAAACAAAAAAAAAAAAGATCATGGTAATGATAATGATAACGATAACGAATAACTCACTTTAGCAAGAACGAGGTCTTCAAATGTTAAACTTTGATCCTTGCGCTCCTGAGTAACTAAATCAAACATCCTCTCCCCAATGGGGCCATGCAGTCTAAAATATGACTACAACCCAAAAAAAAAAAAAAAAAAAACATTTATAGGTTTTAGAGAATAGTAACACTTGGGTTCTGAATGAAGGCAATTAATCATTGGATTGCATATAACAGTTAAAAACAAACCTGAAAAACGGAGGGAGAGATTTGTTTTCCATTGCCTTGGGATTGAGCAGCCAAAGAATTGAACAGAGACCTCAAGTCTTCTAGTTCCTTTTGAGTAAATGCTCTGCAATAATTTTTTAGATTACTCTATGAAAATTGATTTTGTGACAGAACGTGTGCGTGCGTGTGTGTTTGTTAGTGTGGAGAAAGAAAAAACAGAAACCTGGATGCTGAAACATAACGAGGATCATTGGGAGGTGACTGAGCGTTTCCCATTGCTTGCTTCGCCTCCAATTCCTATGATTTCGGTTCAGAATTTGTAGGTTCTGCAAACTTTTGTTTTACGTCCTTCATTTTTACGGTATTTATTTGTGCATAAACCCCTCTAGTTTTTAAATTTCCGAAACATAATGCGCGTAAAACTGTGATCTTAATCCTAAAACAGTTATTTACCATCTCGAAAATAATGTTTTAAATTGATTAACGTATTAACTATGTATTTATTCGTTTATGTAACGTAATTATTCATAATTTTCAAATTATAGTTCTTCTAATATAAATTTATATTTATAAACTAACTAATATTTTTAATACACCGTTGGTGACAACTTAAGACCTTGTGTTCTGAAACTATAAATAAAACTAAAATAGAAGAATGTAAGATTGAAAATCATTACGAGGTCCAGTTAAATTTATTAATTAAATCTGAAATAAAGAGTGTTTCTTCTAGCAGTTTTATTCTTATTGGGGATTGGTGAAAAATTAAACCAACCCAATAAAATTTAGTAATGCTCAGATTAAATGGTTAAAATTAACTATTTAACAGACCTAATCTTGAGTCTTGAGTCTTGAATAACATTACTGGTTAAACGTACAAGTGAATTTTAGTAAAACTTGAGGTAGCACCTGGAATTATGTAGTAAATATTTCTACATCAGATGCAGTAGTGTATTCATAGTTACGTGTGAACTTTAACATGTAAGCCTTTGTCGTAGAAACTCAACCTCCAACAGATTTAATTATTGATGAGAGATGCAATTATATCAAGGATCATAACTTCTCTAAGGGAGCGTTTGATTGAAGAGAAATTTCTTGAATAGTAGGGAAATAAAATTGATAGGGAAATGGTAAGAAAGTTAGATAAAGTGAGATAGATAGAAAAATGTTAAAAAAAGTTATTTGGTGGAGAAAAACTTTACTGGGAAAATTAGGTAAATTTTAGAAAATATATGTTTGGTTGGAGGTGAGATATAGATGGGAAAACAATCTTAAATTACTAAAATAACCCTATGTTTCTAAGAGAGAGAAACACAAGTTGAGAGAGTTCTGTCTCTCGTTGTCTTGTTGTTATACTTCAGAATCTCGTTTATTAAAGACGGAAAGCTTTTCAAAAAATCGATTCGTGCTGGTTTTTCAAAAAACCACATATGAAAAGCTTTTCAAACAGTATCAAAAGTTGGCTTTTCCATTTAAATTGAAAAACCTATGCATTTTGGATGACTGACTTTTTGCCTGAATCTACTCAACCATACACTTCTATTCTGGAATCCTTCTCTCTCACTTGTCTAGGAAAATTTTGGAAAGACCTCAGCCAAACACCACCTAAGGAGAAGCATAATTCTAGAGAAATATAACATAGGCCTTTCCCTGACAGTTACATTTTTGGGCCTTACGACCTCCATAAGTTTATCGATTTTTCTTTAGCAAATTTTCTCAGCGTCTTGTTAGAAATATCATTTTGGATATCTTCTTCCCCTTCTTTTTTTTTTTTTTTTTCTCTTCTTCTGTCATCCTTGTTTTTTTGTCACAATTTCTTCTTTATTCTATGGGTGTTTGGGGCCGTGACTCATATTTTCCCATGTCCTCTATTGAGGAAAATCATGTGCTGCTGAATGGGCCTGTAGGTAGAACTTGGTATCTATGGATAACTTCTTCATAGCCCAAGACTAGAGCCCAAGGTGGAGGTTATCCACGCAAGGAGTCCACCGTCAATGTTTTTCTGTTCATGCGTAGGTAAGCATTGAGCACATTTGACCACAATAATTGAATTCAAATATTATTTATTATCTTAGAGAGAAATTATGAAAATGAAATAAAAAAGTAAAAAACAGCAGTAAAAATAACTTTTTTTTCCTTAGCAAATTTGCATATATTATCTTTTAATTGCAAATCATGCCTTATCGTAACAAATTATCTGACTTATTTACCCCTCTATCTATAATAATTATATTGAAATAAAAGCAAATTCTTAAATGGCTATAATATTTTCTAAAATTTTGCTCACGAGTAACAAAATATATTTATTAAGAATTTAAAATAAAAAATACAACATTTACATTAGAAAGTTTTTGAAATATTACTTTTTTATTTTATTTTATTTTATTTTTTTTAATAAGTGCTTTTAGATTTTACCACACTCGTCAGCAAAAACTTTATAATTTATATTTCTTCTTACTTCTTTTATATATCATTTTAAAAAGCTTGTTTCCTTTTAGGAAAAAGATTTTTTCTTCTATAATAGAAATTTTTTTCCTTTCACATTTAAGTAAAAGTGAGTGGGTTTCATTATATCTTACTAATTTTTTCTTTCTATTCTCTTTATAATGTATCTCACTCATTTTTATGTGAGTGTGGCAGTAAAAATATTTTTTCTTTCTTTTTATTTATAAAATTAATTAAGCATTACTTATTATTTTTGTCCTTAATATTAATAAGTAAAAGACAATATCAATACAATAATAAAAGTATTTTGAGTATTTAAATCAAAGATAACTCATCAAATGAGGCTTTTTGACCCTTATGACCCTTAATTAATAATTAATTACCAAATTGCCCTTCATTCAAAACTATTTCGAAAATTTACCCTCCCCAACAAACATAACACCAATCTGCCCCTGTTTGACCGTTGACCAGGAAGCCTACCCGGGTACACCCTTACTTACCCGGGTAATTTTTGAAAATTTTTATCTACCCGGGTATGTAGGGGTGTACCCGGGTAGAGTTATTGAATCTGGGAAAATGGTTGAATTATTTACCCGGGTATGGAGCAGTGTACCCGGGTAAACATCGACGGTAGGGTTTTAAAATACCCCAGCAGCCCCATTTCGAAAACCCACAAAAGGGGTACCCGAGTAGAGCTGCTGGAGGTGTGTCTTCTTGAGCGATTTCAGGCATAATCTTGCACCAATTCGTCTTGTTTCTGATCATCATTCGCGGACCTTGCGACCTCTCTGCCTTCTACCAATTGAAATCGATCAAAGGTGCATTTTTTTTTCAGTTTTTTCAATTATGTTCTGATTTCTGTTCTGATTCATTGTATTTTCATTTATATCATTTGATTCTGTCCGGATTATTTTATCAATTTGTATGACATACGCTTACCCTAACCCTAACCCTAACCCTAACATGTATCTAATTTTTGATTTTGGTTATTTTTTCAGTTTAATAGTGTGACACAATGACCTCTCGACGCGTTTCAAAGCTGCCAGTGACCCATTCCGAGAGAAGAACCAAGAGTCGTCACGATGGGTCGTCATCCTCTCAGCCCCAGGCTGCTTCGAGTCAGGCTCTGGACTTGACGTTCGGATATTTGTTTGAGGATGACATACTTTCACACGAGAAGTTCGTGAAGTTTTTCATGACCCGGAAGATCTGCGAACCGAAATCACTGGATTCGGCATTCTTCAACCTAGAGCGTTTTGACATTGTGCCGCTTCTTGAGCAGACACATTTACTTCACCTGGCGGAGATGCGGTGCCCATACTCGGAGGTTATGGTAAGAGCCTTCTACCAGAACCTTGGCTACTCGCAAGGCGAGCTGACTTCCCGTGTCTGCGGGATTGATATCATCATGACTGCTCCTATCTGGACAGAGCTATTGGGGTTCGATTTTGATGGTGTCACAGGAGTAGCACTATATGATGGAGACAACCATCATATATTTGGTGATTATAACCGGGAGACCATTGTTACAGAGACTAGGAGGGCAGACGCTGAGCCCGGTCATTTTGCTCATTATCTTGTGAGCAACTTGTCAGTTTCTGCTCGAATTCTTCATTATGTGGTGACACATATTATTTTCCAGCGCCCGCATAATCACTCAAAGGTGCTGGAAGGGGACTTTGTCATCCTGTGGGCCCTCCTTCACAGTCAGCAGGTGAACTGGAGGCATTACATATGCATACTGATGTGGAAGGCAGCCAAGTCAAAGAAGGCTGAATTGCCTTTTGCATTTCTGGTGCAGAAGATTCTGCATAGATTTGGAGTGCCTATGGCAACAGAGACCTTGAAGACCTCCAGAGGCTGGAATGCTATATTTGGTGAGAGGCTCCTGAAGCGGTGTGGGATCCTACCGAACAGAGCGGGTATCTGGACGTGGAAGAAGGCACCAGAACCACCTGAGATCCCAGTCCACCACGATGCTGAGATGGAGGATGCACCTGCAGGTGATGTGTTGGTCTTTATGAGTTTATGCAATTTTGTGTTGTTTATTTTTTAATGTGGTATTTATAAGATGTGCTTTTCATGGTTTATGATGTAGGCCTTGATGATGATGACGATGATGATGGCGTTGCTGAGGTTGATGTCAGACCGACACGTCCCACCCGCAGTCGGCGACCACCAGCTCCTCCTGAGGTGGATGGACACTTGATCATGTCATGGCATCCATATATGATCTGACTACTGACTTTAGAGGATATAGACAGAGCACGAGCAAGTGGCAGAACCAGATGGACACAAGGGTTGCACGGTTGGACACAAGGGTTTCACGCTTGGAGGGTTTAATTGGCGAGGGTGCCCATACTCAGGAGGAGGAGGAGGAGGATGACAATGGGGATGACACGCAATCGGATGAAGAGAATGGGGAGGACACGCCATCGGATTAGTGTGTCCATAGGTTTCATATCATTGATTTAGTTTGATGTAATGTAGTCATTTTGGTACATTTAGGAACTTTACCTACATTGCATGGATCTTTTTGTACTGGATGTTCAAAATTTGAATGAATGAAATTTTCGTTTTGCGCACGTTCAGACTTGTTGGTTCTATGCATTAGTATGGGACCTTGCATTAATATTGTCATAATTAATTTGGAAAACAATTCAACCCAGAGTACTTTAATATTCATGTTCAACATTGATTGGCGCACATCTTGATTACTGCATCCTATTTCTACGAAATCAATCCACCCCCAAGTCATACTGTATGTAGGTATTACACAACAATTACCAAAATGCAAAAAAAATGGCCAAAACAGCATATGCAACAACATCTGCAACTGGTCTACCCGGGTACCACGAACTGGTCTACCTGGGTAGGATGTACTCGGGTATATCATTACGAGTTACCCGGGTAGACCAGTTGC